TCTCCTTAACAGTCTTATGAACATGAAAAATAGGAAAATCTGACATTTAATCCTGAATATTTCCCAAAGATCTCGTCTTTAGTTTTACACGAACAACAGTGAATCGCCCAATCTGTTCTTGTGTGTTCACATCAAACACCAGGGACTGAAAAGGAAAGGAAGGCACTGGGAAAATCACTGAGCTTTAGCCCCTACTGGGCTACAGAACACGAAACCAAAACACAAACACTTTGCTGCTGATTGAGGGACAGTAATGGATAGTTGAGCATTTACCTGGAGCTGTGTCTGACGAGGGGTGCTCGGAGGAACTCAGAGAAGCATGGCAAGCAAACAAACCCCAGTGCACATCTGGGCCTACAGTCTTACAAAAGGCAGGTTTAAACCCATCAGGGAAGCTCGGGAGGGGCCAAGTCAGCTCACTCTTTCTAACCATCCAACATTTTTTTTTTTATGGCCAGTCTCTTCGCGAACGAAGAACCGGGGAAGGTCTTTACACCTTCCAGCCTGCGCATTGGATTTTTTAGGTGAGACACAGTGTGTGCGGAACTGAGCCCACCCTTTAATCCTGAGGTTCATCTGCCGGGGCCAAGCACGCTTGGACGGTGGCAGTGAGGTCCTCAGGACGTAGATGGATTGCCTTATGGACCATCCAACATTAAACAGTGAGAGACAGTATTCCAAGGAGAGGTTTATCTGTGTTGACCATTTCTCAGGTAACCGTTGATAATTTAGTAGGAAATAACAGTGATGTGGATACCTATGCGTCCCTTGCACTCCAGTCTTTTAAGATACAAGCATTTAAGCAGAGACTCTAAGGGAAGAAAGGCAAATGGCAAGTTGCTTAACCTGTTACTAGGAAATATTGATTTATAAATGAATAAAAAATGAAAATCACTGCAAGAGTATGAAATGAAATCAGTGATTCTGTGATTTTTAAAATATATTGTGGATCTCTTCCATTTGTTTCTGTGGTTATAAAATCCTTGTATTAACATGACATCCATTTAATTGTAACTGTTGTTTAATTGTAATGGCACATGGGGAAAAAGTGCTGCATTTTGGTCAAATTAGACTTTAATCATCCAAATGAGCCGTCTGTGCATGGTATTATGTACTTTATGGAACACTGTCACTTAACACAGCCCGTTAGGGCTCATTCCATGCTCTGCAAGAGCTTCCAGTCCAGCTCCTGAGGGAATGGGATCTCCAAGCCCCACAGCACCCCAGGAAACAGAGGCCCAGAAAGCCCCAGAGTGGTTTATTGATTCAGAGGCAGCAGCAGCAAACCAGCACGGACAGCTGGACACGAACAGAACCTGTATCTGGCAAGGCACACACGGGAACAAGAAGAGAAGTGGGGACACAAAAAGCCAGTCTCCATCAGCTTCACTGACCCTGCCACAGCAACACTGGTGGAGGACTCCACATGCATTTGTTCCTTTGGCTGTTTTCTCCAACACCCAAGGGAGACAGGTCCTGAGAACACTCCATCCTGCCCACATGTGCGGCACAGCACAGAGCCAACCTGAACACACTTAGGACAGCCCAGACAGCAGCTGAGTACCAGTCTGGATGGGCAGCTTCGGGGGAGAATAACAACTCAGACTCATGAGGGAACCTCGGGAGAAGAGCTCTGGTCAGCTTCCACAACATTTCCAAACGGAAACTGTTCTTACCATGTGTTCCCTCACTACACTGACCAAGGCGAGAGTCCATCACCAATCCTGCTGTCAATAAAAGGGGCATTTCCAAGCAGTTCTGTGTGGAATAAGAGGCATTTTCTTCCAGAAGAGACTAGGGGAAAAAGCTTAAAAACAGCACTGAGATTGCAAATGTATATTTGGATCAAAAGAGGCTGACATTCATGAAATCATGGAATCATGGAATGGTTTGGGTTGAAAGGGACCTTAAAGCTCATCTCATTCCACCCCTTCCACTAGCCCAGGTTGCTCCAACCTGGCCTTGGACACTCCCAGGGATGGGGCAGCCACAGCTTCTCTGTGCCAGGGCCTCCCCACCCTCACAGGGAGAATTCTTCCCTAGTATCCCATCTACCCCTGCCCTCTGGCAGTGGGAAGCCATTCCCCATTGTTCTGTCCCTCCAGGCCCTCTTGGAGCCCCTTTAGGCACTGGAAGGCTGCTCATTACAGCACTCCTAATGAAAATGTCACCAGAGGAAATGCAAACCCACACTAGGATGCTAAATTCAGTATTGTCTGAGGAACAAACTTCATGACCAGCACAGGGACACCATCAACTAATTCTGTCTAGAGACGGAATGCTCACTGATCAAACCTCATCCCAAACTGTCATTGAGACACTCACATGGCCAGTTATTACTGGGCAGCCCAGAGGAGGAGTGGATATCTCCTATTCTGAACAGTGACTGTAACAGAGCGCAAAAATAAATGTTAACATGCAGGCCAGCAAGCAGAGCCTGGAAGAGTCACTGCCACTGCCTTTCTCTTCTGTGTCTGGAGAGAGCAGCACCTTTCCCCTGGTCCACAAGTCCTCTGGGGAAGCTGAATTTTGCTGGTTCTATTTTTAAAGCATTCTTTTCAGGACTTTCCCCTCAGATTTGCCAGTGTTTTGGCCCTCCCGGCAGGAGGTGCATTGGTTCTGACGTGCATCCTGACCCTGAGTCTCACAGCCCCAGCTCCCCTGAAGCTCAGAGGACAAGGTGTGAAGCATCCAGTGTGCTGCAGCCCTTCCTCCTGGACAATCAGCCAGGCAGGAGGCAGCTCTAATGTCTATTTTAAAGGGCACCTCTTCTGCCAACCTAAGGAATGCTTTGAAGGAAGGTTTCAAAGCAAACCCTCAGAGACAGATTTTAGCCACGTGGCTCTGGAAAATCAACACGTTTGGTTAACACTCCTCGCTGCTCTGACATGAGTTCAACCTGCCAACTGGCCCTTTCTTGCAGGTACAGCAGTCACTGCCAGAACTTTGCCTCAGACAAAAGCAGGCAAACTCCAATTCCTTAATCACCTTACTGAGATACTTCAGGCACAAAGTACTGAGTTCTTGGCAATATCAGCATTTCCAGGGAATTACAGGAATGGGTATTTGGAAATCAAATATAGACTCTCACTATAGAAAGCAATCCTAGACCCTGATAGGGGACTAATCAAAATTACCCTGGTAATGGCTCTTTAATGCTCCAGGCTGTGGGGAACTGTCAATGACTCACACAGAGCACAGGATCAGAATTTAAATTGATGCCATGGCCAGCTCTCACAACAGCACTTGTGTGGAACAGGTAGGTGATATTTTGGCTTCTCAAAGTGCTTGACATACAGATTAGATAACAAATACAATGCTCCTGTAAGCAGCAGGAGCATTGTTCATCATGTATTACAAATGTGGAACACAAATGCAGCAGGAAGCACCAAAATTTACCCCCACTGAAGCACCACAGACAAGGCCCAGTTCAGTCCCACCCTCTGCAACCTTTTTTAACTGTGCCCTCAGCTGACATTATACAAGTTTAGGCCAGTAGGAATATGAAAACTCTCCAAATTTTGAGTTTTTGCTACTATTCTCAGGACACAAAAACACAGAATTGTTGCCACCAATCTCAGGTGCTGATTCTTGCACAGAAAGAAAGGCAGAACCTCAAAAAAGCAAAAGTGGGAAGGGAGAAGGGAAACCTCATTGGGATTCTCCATTTGTAATCATTCATCCCACCATTTCCTCAGCTGCATCAAAACTGTTGCCCATAGAACTTTGGAGGTTTTTGTCTTTTTTGTATTTTTTGATATGTTTCTAGAATGAAATAAAGAGGCTACCCAAAGAAATAGCACAAATCATGGAATCATAAAACAGTTTGGGTTGGAAGGGACCTCAAAGCTCATCCAGTCCCACCCCCTGCCCTGGGCAGGGACACCTCCCACCAGCCCAGGTTGCTCCAATTCCCAACCAACCTGGCCTGGGACACTTCCAGGGATCCAGGGGCAGCCACAGCTTCTCTGGGCACCCTGTGCCAGGGCCTTAACAGCCTCATTGTAAAACAGCTTCTTCCTTCTAATCTAAACTGACACTCTCAGTTTAAAACCCTCACCCCTTGTCCTATTGCTACAGGCCCCACTAAAAAGTCTGTCCCCAAATCCTGCTCCCTGTGCCAGATTTCCACACAGAGCTCAGGAAGGTACCTTGGCCAACAGACAACATCAAAACAGCAGCTGCTGTGTAATTTTCCTTTAATTTTCTCCTACTCTGTAGTCCTAAAGAACTTCATGGGGTGCCTGTGGCTACAAATGCTGGAGGGAATTAGGATCCAACTCTAAAACTCAAAAATGTTGCTGCTTCTCTGGTCTTGAGCAAGGAGGTAAAAACAAACATGCTGAAAAATAAAACCAACATGATCCTAAAAGTAATTATATTAAAAAAAAGGGGGAGGGGGGTACTCCAAGTACTGTAATTACTGTGCACTCGCACTTTGGGAAATGTCTTCCTGTTTCACCCCTATTAAAGTCTTGAGAACTTCTCCATGAGAGTATTCTAATAGAGACTGACAAACTGTGAAGATCCCAAAGATATTCTAAACATTAAATTATTTACATCCTTAAGAACACTGTGCTCCAGGCAATGAAATTAATTTGAGCTGGCTTGCCCTGAATTTTTTTCCATCTTCTCAAGAGATTTTGCTACCGGGTTTAACAATATCAATCTGGTAAAGAACAAAGCACCACAAGATTTGGAGAACAATCTGTAAATCAGATCTAGAATAAAAGTTCAGGGAATTAGATCACTGGAAATAAAGGAAGTGAAAGAATAAAGTGTGTGTGGGGGGGGAAGAGTGATGTTCTTGCCACACAGTAAGTCCAGATATGTAATTGTATTTTTTTCTCTATAAAATATCTTTGTAAATTATTGTTTGATTACTTTTGCCAGCTATAGGTAGGGTTGGGAAGAATATAAGGAAGTACACTCATACTCCAGACTGGATCCTCATTGTTGTGGTCCTTGAAAGCTTCTGTTCTTCAGTCTCCTCAAGGAACGGGATCCTCATGCTTTTCTTCACAGAAAGGTGGTCTGTTATTAACCATTAGTGTATGCACATATTATCAGTAACTGGAAGGTATCTCACTGATTGTCCATTCCAAAGCCTGTGGGATTGCAGATGGCACAGCTCTGTTTAACACACTGTGTTACACACTTATGATTATGGTGACCCCAAACTGCCACAACATAATTTCGGGCCAAATGTAAAAAAGATATTCAGATGTCTAAAGATGCAGATTGAAATCACTCAAATCATTAAAGCCAATTAAACTCAGCATGCATATGCTTGTAAACAGTTGTAATGGAAATGGTTTTTGTTAGGTTAGGAATTATTAGATGAACATTTTGAACAGCTACAGGGAAACAGGCACAGCAAGAACCAGGGCTTAGATGAAGACTTTCACAAAATCATCAGCTGCCAAAAAAAAAGGTCCCAGGAGTTGTTACAACAGCAATACAGCATGAAACAGAAAAGGAGATTGTGCCATTACACACATCCATGGTCCTCTCACACTGAGTACTCCGGGAAGCTTTGGTGAAACACAGAACATTAAAAGTGGAAAAGGGTCAAAAGAGAGCAGTGAAGATGATGAAATGCATGAAACAACTTCCATATGAGGATTGACTGAGCGGAAAATGCAGCACAGAGAAGACTGGACTGAAAGGGGCTGTTTCAGATGGGTTTGTGTTCTTGACTAACCTGGAGGTGAATAAAAATCAGCTGTTTATCTGGTGCACTGGTGCTGCTGGGTTCTGAACAAACCAAGGAGGTGGAGGGGTTTGAGGTGAGACTGGATGTGGCATCAGTGCCATGGGCTGGGAACCAGGGTGGGGCTGGATCAAGGGTTGCACGTGATGATCTCAGAGGTCTTTTCCAACCTGGCTTGCTCTGTGATTCTTCCCAAAGCACTCGTTCAAACCCCTGTAAATGCTGTGCATCTGCAGCATCCCTTGGTGAAGGGTTTACAGCTCTACTAGGAGCTTGATTTCTCCTCAGTCAAACCACCCATGGATGTTGTCCTGCACCTTTGTTGTCCCTTCCATTTGTTGCCTTTTCCATTTTTAATAAGTGAAAAGTTTACAGGAGGAGCTTACAAGGCAACTGGACAAGTGCTTGGCACAGAGCTGCAGCTGGGATTATAAAACTGGCAAATCCCATCAGCCTGGCCTGAAAAAATGGTTTGGAGACCACAAGGGAGTAGGCAGAGGAAGAAAGGAGGAGGGAAAGGTATGATATAAACCCTATTTTTACTTTTTTGTCGGCATCCATCCCCTTCTGGTCCCTACTGGAGTCAAGGCAGTGGGCCACCCATGGCCTGTCTATGCTTACAATGGCTAAAATCAGAGTAAAATTTAACCCCCTAAATAATTTAATGGACTTTTACCCAAAAACTGTATTGCATTTACTGTACTGCCCTGAGCTGTTATTTTGGGAGCATCACACTAAGTGGTAGCTGGAAATTAATAATTAGTAATTGGAAAGCAATTATTGAGAGCATTGTGAACCTTGTTGTACACTTCCTAATTTATCAGGATGTTTTGTGGAGATGCATTCTCACGACTCAGTTTTCCAGGATAATTTTTACCTTCAGGACTCCTGTAGGTTCTCTGGGATGACTCACTCCTGGTTTTTATTCTTCATGCTGAGGGCACAGCTGTTTTGTGAGAACAATTGGCCAGACTGATGGATTATCATCAGGATCAAAACAAGAGGGGGTGGATGGCTTCACCCTTTCACACAGTTTTAATGTCGTTAGACAAACTGCCCATAAACTGATCTAAAATATACAACCCAAGTCACTCTAGATTTTGGGAGAGATCCAACACTCTGACACACAGATGTTGAGATGTCTTACTCTTTATCTGTGATAAGGCTGAGGCCAGAAACATGTGACTTTGTTGTACAGAGCTGATAAGCACACACAGATGCTTCCTGCTTGATATTGTCAGGGTTCAGCTGAGCCCTCGGTGTCAGTGCTGAGACCTGACATGGGTAAAAAGCTCTTTTATCTTTGCTGGCATTTTGAGTCCTTTGATCCTCTTATTTCAAATCTGGATCCAAAAATTCCCAATTTATCTTTATTTTAGGCTCCATGAAACTCCTGAGCAGTGCTGAAACCTTGTCTTTTGAAACTGTTTCTCCCAGCGCAGCAGCATTCAGAGGGCACGGCTGGGCTCAAGAACAGGACTACTGTTTTTAAAGAAAAGGTGGTTCTCTATCGTAGCCACACAGGCTCAAAGCATGTTGACCTTTTTTCCCTCCAGCCCTGCACAGAACAGGTTCATTTCAAGCACCAGAAAAGCCTTGGGGCTCCTCTGTTCACATTTACTCCGCCATTCACACACCAGAAAAAAAACATCCACCTTCAAAAGAGGAGCGTGAACCAATGCTCTGGTGTTCTTCTATCAGGAAACCAAATAAGAAATCAGTGCTTATATTTGCAAAGCCATTTGTTACATCAGACTACAGGCCAGCCTGCCGCATTTATAAATTCCTTTCCCTGGCAGTATTTGGGGAGCAGCAGGATGAAAACTTTCCACAGGCAAACAAGCTCTGTATAATCAGGAAATCAGTAAAACCTTGTTGTGGAACAACAGCATCAGCTGCATAAACACTTTTACATTTCATGACTGATAAACAAAAGAGAATTTCTAGATTTCAAAAGGGAACAACTAACAGATCAAAGTGAATGAAAAATGTATTTACTGGCCACACTTGGAAGCTTCCTGCACATGGAGTCACCACCAACCCTCACAGCCAGCCAGGTGCCATTACAGACCAGTCACTGGCAGCATCTCGGGAAACAGAGGCTGTACATTAAATTCTTATAAGGTTTCACAGGTTCCTTTACTCATAAGGGGACTAAGAGAAATGAACCAAGCTTAAACCCATCAGCAGCAAGACCTTATTTCTAGTTTAAACATCAGGGAATGACATCATGGAGGAGAGACTTCACCTGCAATCCAATTGACGTTGTCTGATCTGCCCCAGAGACAAACACCCTTAATTCCTGTAGAGGTAACCTCCAAGCAGTTTACCAGGCTGATCACCTTGTCTTTGTAGGCCAGCCCAGCTTTCCCAGCCCCAGGAGCTGTGATACTAACCTTAGCTGGGAATTAGGGTCACTCCTGCTTTGTCTTTGTGATCACACACACTTTGGTTATCCCATAACACCTTTCTCAAAGGAGAGGAGTAGGAAAGGGCAGATGAAAACAGCAGGGAAAAGATCTACCTGCAGAGATCACTCAGTAGTAATGCAGTAGTCTGGCAGCAAAACAGGAAAATAGATTTGATGGGATAGTATATTCTTCACAGAATGCATCATTGGTCTTTTTTTACAAGGGCTGTGCATTATTGTAGAAAATTTAAAAACTGATTTTTTTTTTTTTCTGAACTGCAAACACAATATTTTGCCACACTCTTTATTTAAACTAATCAAAACTGTGTCGCACTGTGGCCAGACACTGAGGAAACACAGTTGTTCCCAGAAGTCTGGGAGAAGATTTGTTTCCTCTGCCTACTCAGACAGTCTTTTCTTTTTAGCCCTGTCATACTGCTCTTTCCACCAGATGGTTTGCTGGTTCCTATTCTAGCTAAGAGGGATTTAACCAGCTTGAATTAATCCTAACAGTTGTCATCGACTAAGTGTTAATGCTCTGGCACTGTTTTAATCCTCTGGGATTTCTTTCCTCTCTGCCCCCACCCTGCTGTGTGGGAAGGGAGGGAGGAGAACACTCGGGTGTTCAGTTGACGGAACAAACAAGACCAGACCAGTTCAGCAACAAGGTTACAGGTACCCACCAGGCACTGCTGGATAATCCATCCAGGGACATTCATGCAAATGACCAGGAAAGGGCTTTTATTGTTCTAGGGAAACTCAACAATGGCAGTGATAGTGTGTGAAGCACATGTAAAATTTGGTTTGTCACCTTTTAGCTTTCTCGGGGTATTTTGTGTCTCTCACACAATTTTTTATACTTTTCACTTTAGTGTATTGCCTGTTTTCTGAAAACTAGACTGATTGAAAGTAGCTTTAACACTTTTTCTTTCTTTCTAGGGTCCATATTTCCTACTGTACTCCTGAGATCATGAACCCAACACACGTGCACACCCTCTGTGTGCACTGGAAACATCTCTTGGAATTCGGGTCATTAGCCTATCGCTGATCTCTACAAACTCATTATTACGCACATGCCCAATTTGCACCGACCTTTTCACCGCGTCACTCGGAATCCAAGTGCACCACTGACACACTCTTACCTTTCACTTCCCGCTCCCCTCAGGAAGGCGCAGGTTACTGGGTGTTCCCAGGAATCACAGGTACCACCCGGCAGCATTTAACCCCCTGTAAAAGACGGTAAAGTTTGTCACTTGTTTAGCAACAGAAGTAAATATTCAGGGGGGAAAACCAAATTAAATTAGATTTCAAGAAGCTTCTTTGCTACTGATAGAGTCCCTCTGTGGCAAACCCTGCCTCCCGAAAACATGTGAGCTCCTTCTGCAGGGCACAGAATTTCCATACAGGCAGCAAACTCGGGAAGCTTCATGAAGAATGTTCCTGCTGTCCCCGTAGGAAAGCTGCACATAACACAGAAATTATTTGCACTATTATATCAGAAACCATTTTCCAGAGGAGTGATTTTAAACCATGTAGCATCAGGTCTGTTTAACTGTGACAAAATCTTTATAGCAAAGACGGGCAGTCTGCCACCCCCAGATTTGAAAGCGGCTGCATTTGAATTTTTTTTGCAAATGCTTTGATTGAGAGGCTTATAAATTGTCTCAACAGCAACCAGACAGCCGAGACATGCCACCTTCAGTAAACCAAGCATGAAGTAGTTCAGCAGAACTTAGACGGTGATCTCACACCCACTGAACTTAATAACCACTCACAAGTATGAAATTAATACTTTTAGATGCTTGCAGGGTGAAGCTATTAAATAAACATTTCCAGGTACTGAAAGAGCAATTTCAAAAGAAAATATAAGCCTTCTCTGGATATGATTGGGATCCTGAAACAGTCATTCATAGTTCCAATTTTATCTTTTCTGTCAGCTGGTTTTTTGCTTTTTGCATTAGCATTTTAAGGAACATAAAAAAAGTGTTTTTACAGTAGAAGTGTATATTTATTTTACTTTTCTGTAATGCTTTCAAGAAGCAGCAAAGGAATTTTTGCTTAGGTTTTCTAACATTAGTCTTCAAGCAACAACAGGTCATGCAGGACTTCTGCCCAGAAAAGAAGCAGGTGAAAACATGTTGCTATAATGGAAACCTTAGCAAGAGCGCAGCTGGCATGACTAGCTTCCGGTGTTAGGGTTTAGGTTATATTTACATTTCTCTGGGTATATAATTTCCAAAGTGCTCTGCTATCCCTCCACATGTTTACACACTTTGTGTATTCCTTTTTTTTCTGTATGCCCTACTGGACCACTTTTCTTCCTCACTGCATACCTGGGCTCCAACCTCTCTTTCCTTCCACAAAGAAGGAGAAGAACAAACACAACTTTTCAAACCACCACTGTGAATTATGGCCCTGGAATTTATATAACGTAGTTAATTTTAAGCAAACTCTTGAACAGGAATACTGGAAGATGAAAAGATATGTAAAATGCAATTAGAACTGGGTGGAACGTTTAGTGTGCTAGGACAGCTTTTACTATCCATCTTCACATTACGCAGAAGGTTTTTCTGTACTTTTCACTCAGACTGACTTTTTTTCCCTCCTGTTGCTCTATTCCAAATAATCACAGAATCATGGAATGCTTTGCATGGGAAGGGACCTTAAAGCCCATCCAGTGCCAGCCCCTGCCATGGGCAGGGACACCTTCCACCAGCCCAGGTTGCTCCAAGCCCCGTCCAACCTGGCCTGGGACACTTCCAGGTATCCAGGGGCAGCCACAGCTTTGTCAGTACCTCACTGTAATATATAATCATATATACTATTAAATATATATTATAAATATATATGTAAATAGCTAGAAAAAGGGTCTCAGCTCAGCAAAGCAGGGCTGATGACTGATGTTCAGTGCCTAAATAGGCCCAGTTTGAGCTGATTCACACCATTATGGGTTGTCTGCAGTGTCTGCATGAGACATACAAACACAAGTCACCACCACCACCCTTCCTCGCGCCTTACTGATCCCTTTTCCCCCAAAGCTGAAAGTATAAACTGAAACATTAAAAAGAAAATCGGGGTTTCACTCTGCCCTCCAATTTACACACACACACTCCCCACAATAATGGAGACAGGAACTGCAGCACCACCTCTTTTCACTTACTGCCGAAAGAAACGTGGTTTGACTCTAGATGCTGCAGCTCTCACTTAAAACAAACAAATAAACAAACCCCAAACGAACAAAAAACCCCAAACTAAACCACAACCCCCCAGTGACAAGGATCAATTTAACAAAAATTTAATAATAGGATGGCTTTGGAAGGGGGGTAGAAGGGGAGGGGGGGCGTGGGTAGAGCCAGGGATACCTTCCCCAGCCACACATAGCAACTAAACCCCCTCACTCACCGGTGTCTGGCATTTTTGTATCACCCGGTGCCAGCTGCGGTGCAGGTTTGCCTCAGCTTTGCCTTGCCTGGGGCACCTGGGCACCGGCTGCCCGTCCATCTCCCCCTGCTCCCTCGGGCACCGGCTGCCCGTCCATCTCCCCCTGCTCCCTCGGGCACCGGCTGCCCGTCCATC